TGGCAGATGGGGAACATGGTGGATTCATGTCCAGAGACAATGTACATAGTCACAAATCAAGCAGGAAGGGCTTCAGGGGCAGGCACAGAAGTAGTGAGCGTGACATGCAGGGGAAGCAGTGCTCCAGGGCTTCATCATTGTCAGTCCGGTCTCAAGGAGACTCACTGGACGCAGGGCAGGCCCCTCCCTAGCATGCTGATGCTTGATCTTCCAGGATCATTGGGTTCCTCGTTTCCCCCACCTCAGAGGTCTGTTGATCTCAAGAACCTGCAGTTAGTCAAGGCTTCAGGTAGAGAACAGAGGTGAATGAGTTAGATGGATGTACCAGCAGTGCTTGGAGTAGCTATAGCCTGGGAAGTCTGTATTTGGAAACAACACAGACACATTATTAATGCTGCACGTGCTGCGCTTTTACCTGCACACAGACATAGGATCACTGGGGCTGTGCTGGGACCTCGGGAACATGTAGGTGGGTTAATCCTCATAAAACTTGAGCGGTTGGTGCTAGATGTCCCCTATTTTCCCTGAAAATGTAGATGCTCGGGGCGCCTGGGTGGCTAAGTGGGTTAAGCCTCTGCCTTCAGCTCAGGTCATGTTCCCAGGGTCCTGGGATCGAGCCCTGCATCGGTCTCTGCTCAGCAGGGAGCCTACTTCCTCCTCTCTCTCTCTCTCTCCCTTCCTCTCTGCCTACTTGTGATCTCTATCTGTCAAATAAATAAATAAAATCTTAACAAAACAAAACAAAACAAAAAGAACCCTTAAAAAAAAAAAAAGAATGTAGATGCCGGGCCCTGCTTTTTTGTTTCTTTTTCTTTTTTAACATTAAGCTTGGGGGCACCAGGGTGGTTCAGTCATTAAGCATCTGCCTTTAGCTCAGGTCATGATCCCGGGGTCCTGGGATTGAGCCCCACATCAGGCTCCCTGCTCCGCTGGAAGCCTGCTTCTCCCTCTCCCACTTCCCCTGCCTATGTTCCCTCTCTCGCTGTCTCTCTCTCTCTCTCTCTCTGTCAAATAAATAAATAAATAATCTTTAAAAAAAATTCACAAGACAAAACAAAAAAAAATTAAGTGTATAAAACAGGAGCTAAATGTAAGTTGGAAGAATATATATTACGAAAGCATGAACTGGAATGTATGAGGAAGTTCTCGTTGTTGACTAAGAACAACTTGGCATGAGATAAACAGGAGAAAATCAAATTTAAACCATACGTATGGAGACTCCACAGAGATGTGAAAGTCTCAAAGACTGGCACAGTAAGGTACATATGTCTTTGAGGAGAAAAGCAGAAGAAAGGAAGAAGGGAGAAGTCTAAGAATTCCAAGGGAAGAGATATAATTCTCAGGAAGAAGAAAATAAGTAAATATTTGGTAACATATATTCTCTGGGCCACTCAAAAAAAAAATAGAACATAGAGAACTTGGCTCAAACAGGTCTTCTTAGGTTCCTTTCTGTCTCTCATACCTTGTATATATCATAATGTAGTTAGGTATGTTGATAGCACTCAACCTGCGGCAGCTTCTCTATCTAAATTCTTTTTGGTCATTGAGGTGGGGTGGAAAAGACTTTTCCTGAATCTGCTGGATTTTGATTGCTTTCTCACTCAAGATAAATAATCTTTCTGCCAAAGTGGCCCATCATGGGGTGGCTTGTGCTTGGCCCATACAATCTGTAGGATATTTTGTTGAATTAAATAAGACACACACGGAAAAAAGAAATACTGTATGAAATCACATGGAATTTTAAACAAAATGAAATCATCAATGTGAAGATCACAGGGTTTGTCGCCAGCAACTGGCAGTGAAGGAAATTTTGAAATGTTGGTCACCTGGAAATGTGAAATTAATGGGAACCCTCACTGAAATGGAGTCAGGAGGTTTCAGCAGGGGGCGCTCTCAAGCCCTGTGACTCATAGTCATTGCAGCTCCAATAGGAAGGGAAGGTCTTGACATGATGCAAACTTGACCTTGGACATAGACTATACTGTTCCAGCCAGAGGAAGAGATGCTTTTCTTATCCCTCCCAGGCAATAGCTCAACCACTGAAAAGCCACCAACCTTCATACTACCATTTTACTCTGAAAAACTTTTAGTGTATAACAGAGTTCTCAACTTCCCCTTCTCGCCTCAGTAAAAGCGTCCTTCTTCTTTGTTTCCTAGACTTGCCTATCATTTTGCTGTAGCTTGTATGTCCCTAATTTGATACTGTTATTCCTGAATAAAGCCATCGTTTTGTGGATAAAATAACTGGCCGTTTTGTTTATTTTTATTTATTCTTTTATTTATTTCCTTATTTTTGGAGAGACCAAGAGCACAAGCGAGGTGTGGAGGGGTAGAGAGAGAGCTGTAGAGGGAAACTTTAGCAGGCTCCATGCTCATCGAAGAGCCGTTGGAGGGCTCAGTCTCCTCACCCAGAGATCATGTCGTGAGCCAAAATCAAGTCAAAATCAAGTCAGACAACCAACGGACTGACACTCAGGCACCCCTGGCAGTTTTTGTTTTTAACGTTAAATATAACAACAGTCAGGACACCTGGGCGGCCCAGTTGGTTGGGCAGCCAGTTCTTGATATCTGTCTAGGTCAAGATCTCAGGGTCCTGCAGTTGATGCCCGTGCTGGATGCCATACTCAGTGGAGAGTCGGCTTGGAGATTCTCTCTCTTTCTCTCCCTCTGCCGCTCCCCTTGCTCACTCTCTCTTTCTCTCTCTCTCTGAAATAAATAAATCTTTTTTAAAAAATCCGTAAATATAACAGCACTCACTTAGGATGAAGAATTACTGGTGTTTCGTTGTGCAGCACACTGACTCTAGTGGTGTATTTTACCCTGGAAATTTGCCAGAATGCATCTAAATAAAGCGTTATCAGCATACAAAAAGCTTAACTATATGGAGTTTTGGATATGTTCATGCGCTTCATTATGGTAAAGGTTTTGTAGGTTAATAAGGTTAAGGGTCCACAGAAAAAGGGAGAAGAGACAAAGATTTCTTCACATAAGAGAAGTCACTTTAGGCCCCCAGCCATTTTATGATCTATGCCTGTTTGTGATCTCTGCCAGCACTACTTACCCAAGCACCTCTTTGAAGAATGTTCTGGAATATGTCAGAATTACAGAGAGACATTAGTAGTTCATGGTTTTAAGGCAGCAAAAGTATGTAAATACCAACAGCCACCACCACAAGCCCAGGAGATAGTCTAACCCTATCAGAGACAATTAATCTTGATAAAACTCGCATTGCTGTTTCCAAAGTAAAGATTGTCCTTTTTCTTTTTTCCCAAGTAGATTGTCTTAACAGAGATTCTCTAGTAGCTGTTGTGGGAATTAAACCCCCTTGAGCACACAGATAACAGAATAAAGGAGCCGGAGAGATGATTATGCCCACCGTTACTGGTCCTTTGACTTCAATCAACTGGGACCTGGACTGTGTCAATTTAGGATGACATTTTGGTGGATTTCGCTCTGAAATGGGCTTTTCCAGGCTCCTTGATGAATATACATATGCCATTAGCTTAAAACTCACCCAGTTTTGTTGTTTGGGGAGCTCGTTTTGGGAAATGTCCCTGGTGTTCTCTTTACTTGATACAAGTAAAACCTGTCTTTTTCTTATTTCTTACTTTTGTCTTGGCGGTGTTTTTTGGCTCAACACCAAAGGTGCTGGTGAAGCGAAACCAGTTTCAGATGATCATTTCACCGTGAATATGGATATTCACTGTTGTAACCCTCAGCAACAAAGGGATGTTCATAAATGAAAACAAGGTCCTGAGTGAGCACACAAAAGCAGCATTGACTTGAAGGACAAAGACAGACATTTAGATACTCAGACATACGTATCTCTGCGCCCCTGTATCTGGTGTTGGGTTCTGGCAAAAAGTGAACACGTACCATTGAGACTGGGAATAGGCAGCCAAAGAAAATTTTGATCTCCTTCTATCTGTTCAGTGAAGGGATAGCCCAGAGTGGGGACAGACCTAGAAAGTCTTCAGAAGTGAATCTGTGTGGAGCTATGGAAGGTGAGGGTTCTAGGCTTCTGATCTCTGTGCTGTGACGGATTACCAGTTCTAGCTTCCTGAGTTTGTACAGAGGACAATGGCAGGCTGCCCTAAAATGTGCACCTTTGCCATATTGATTATTTCGAAATAAAAGGTACTTAGGAATCAGCCAATACAAAAAGGACATCCTGACCACCATTTGTGTCCAGAAAGCAGGAAATCAGTCTCCTGTGCAATGGATACCTTTCCTGCACAGAGAGAGAAAGAGGTATTCTTATCTCCATGGGTAGGGAATTGGGAGCTGAAAAGCTTACATGAAGAAACTTGTCACTCTTCACTGCTTCACTACCACTACCTAAATTCCACTCAGAATTCCATACTAAGTGAAGGCCCAAACAGGAGTTTTCTTTATGCTGTCAAATTCTCACAGATGTATTGTCTCTTCTTTTTCCTAATAAATCGTGAAAACTATCTACATTGGTTATTTTTATGGGTCTCACGTTCATTACTGGGTTTTGGGTGCATGTTACTAGATGTTGGGATTGCTTTCTTCTGTAATCTGTCTGTCAGTTATTTACCTAGGTAAATAAAACTAGGTAAAATAATCTTGAATGGTAAAGGAATATTGTTCCTCCCCAATAATTTTTCCCTAAACTCCTAAATAACATATGTGCAGGGTTGAAGATCTTTACTTGCCTACCTCAAAGGAAGCATTCTACTTGCATACATAATAAAATTCTTGTGCATCTGGGTTAAGCATATTCTAAACTTGAGGGATTTTCATAAAACATTATAGTGAAAAGGGTGATGGTCATCGTGTCAGGTGTGGTGACACAGTGCGGGTAAAAATGGCCATTTTTAATGATATTCTTGGGTAACCACTTGTGACACACAGGGCCATCTGAGAGAGCGCTGGTCAGTGAGATGGAGAAGTCCCTGTGGAGGCAGGACTGCCCTGAATGAAAAAGAAATGCCTTCCAGTCAAAATCCTTATGTGCTATCAGATTTTTTTCTTAATCCTTCTTAATCTTGAAACAAAGTTTGGTACCTAGTGGGAGGGCAACCATTTTGGGGCCATGAGAGAGGAAGGAGGAACACAGTGCTGCATATCAGTAATACGGCAAAAATGAGGAAAAAGAGGTTACCCCATGTGATGTCTCAGTTTTATCAGACATGGGCTTCCTACATGTTCATTGTGTACATAAAATATACATCTTATTTTCTATAAGTATTAACCTTCCTTAGAGCTGATCACAAGCACACAGCTACAAAATGATATGGATTATTATATTTCACTTGTAATAATATTAAATGGGCATAACCTGCTACCCAGCTTCTTTGCAGTGGATTCCCCAACATCCCAGTTCCACTCTAGACAGGGTGAGTGTCAGAACAGCACTGGCTAGGAAATACCATGGGGATTTCTGGCCAAAAATTGGGTGGATCACATGAAGCAGAGATGGTCAGTGCCTCTGACTGCTGATCTGTGTCCCCACAGAGCCCAGAGCACATGGCTGCCCTAACCATGGGTAAGTGGAATGATGGAGGTACCTGTCAGCTCTGAGTCTGCGTCCCTGGAAGGTCACCCATCTGCAGTGGGTCAAACCTGTGTTGGGGTTACGCACCTGGGATACTAGTGCTTTGTGAAACCACAGCCCATGGCTTGCTGATCCTCCCTATTACCATGTCCTGAAGGCTTCCTCTCCAACATCTACTCTGCCATGTCCACAATGCTTCCATCATCCAATACCTGTCAGCATCCACTGCCACCAGTCTAGGCCTGATAGTAATCTCTGTCAGCCAGCAGAATCTGCTTATCAGTGACACCCAAGATTTCAGTTAAGTCATGAAGAAAGATGGGAAATCCTTGGTTCCAGGAAATCACCATATATGCCGAGTCCCCATCTCCATACTTTTATTTATCAGATGACACCACGAGCAGCAGCTGACTTGGCCTTTGGAGTGAGCACATGTTGCCTCCGATTCCCTCCCCAAATTTCAGGAAGAGTTCTCCAGGTATGCTTTTAATAGGTCTTATCTCAGAGCCCCCCGGGTGGCTCAGTCAGTGAAGTATCTTCCTTTGGCTCAGATCACGATCCCAGGATCCCAGGATCCTGGGATCTAGCCTACTTCTCCCTTTCCCTCTGTTGCTCTCCCTGCTTGTGCTTTCTCTTTCTCTCTGCGAAATAAATAAATAAAATCTTTTTTAAAATAGTCTTGGCCACCTGGGTGGCTCAGTCCATTCGGCATCTGCCTTCAACTCGGGTCATGATCCTGGGGTCCTAAATTCGAGCCTGCCTTGGGCTCCTTGCTCTGCTGGGAGCCAGCTTTTCCCTCTGCTTCTGCCACTCGCCCTGTTTATGATCTCTCCCTGTCTCTCTCTCAAATAAATAAAATCTTTTTCTTTACTTAAAGTCTTTAATTATTTATTTGATAGAGACAGGGAGAGAGGGAACACAAGCAGGGAAGTGGGAGAGGGAGAAGCAGGCTTCCTGCTGATCAGGGAGCGCAATGGGGTACTTGATCCCAGAACCACACCAGCCGAAGGCAGACGCCTAATGACCGGTACACCCAGGCACCCCTCAAATAAATAAAATCTTAAAAAAAAAAAAAAAAGGTATTGGCGCCTGGATTGTTCAGTGTGTTAAGCCTCTGCCTTCAGCTCAAATCAAGGTCTCAGGGTCCTGGGATCAAGCCCCGAATCCGGCTCTCTGCTCAGCAGGAAGCCTGCTTCCCCCTCTCTCTCTGTCTGCCTCTCTGCCTCCTTGTGATCTCTCTCTATCAAATAAATAAATAAAAATCTTTTTAAAAAATTAAAAAATGTTCTTACCTTTCTTTCTAGGAGTGTAGATCATCATGTTTTACCTATGTTCACATCCCTCTAAGTGCTAACTGTCTGAATTTACACTGTGGCCCATTGTCCTTGTATCCCTCTAATCTGAATTAAGAGGTCAGGGAGGACTCTCCAGCCACAACACATATGAAGAAGTTTTCTCAGATGTATTTGTAGCTGGGAAAGAAACTGAGGAATCAAGAAGAACTGGAGATCATTAAAAAATAAGAAAAATAGGGGCATCTGGGTGGCTCAGTCATTAAGTGGCTGCCTTCAGCTCAGGTCATTATCCCAGGGTCTTGGGATCGAGTCCAGCATTGGGCTGCCTGCTCTTCAGGAAGCCTGCTTCTCCCTCTCCCACTCCCCCTGCTTGTGTTCCCTCTCTTGCTATATCTCTCTCTGTCAAATAAATAAAATCTTAAAAAAAAAAAAGAAAGAAATAGAATTTATCTTTCTGTATTCAGAGAGTTGTGCAACCTGGGAACGAGTATCCTTTCTGCACATGCAGAATTCATTAATTCTTCCTGTACTCTTTCTCTCTCTGTGGCCTTGCCTCATACAGGAATATTTTCCTCCTGCATAAGGGATATCTATCACACATCCAGTATGGCCATGTATATATATTCACCTCGCTTATTTTTTTATTCACCTCATTTAAACATCAAAGGAACCCCTCCATTATGACATGGGGCTCAATCCTTTATTAGGTTCCTTGGGTGGAGTGCTTGAGAGTTCCTGGGTAAGTCCAGATCGAGCCACTGAAGCGTAAACAGGTTTAGGTAAACTCTGGGGAGGGGGGGGTCTTCTCTACAGGGTACACAAGGGGAAGGGCTTGTTCACAAGGGCTTTGGTTGAGGTGTCCTATCAGAAGTTCCATTAATGTGTGACTCTACGGGGCTTTGTTTAGAGAACGTGCTAGTGAGAAGGGCTGGTGTTAGTTCAAGTCCTCTGTAACCCAACTGACCACACCACATGGATGCCAAGTGGCACCATCATGGAGTTCGCCTCAACTGTCATCCATCCCCCTATATAATCTGTAATATATCTATGTTGATGTCCCAGGAGTTCAAAGGGGGAGAAACCAATGCAATAGATAAATTGTTGAAAATAAAACCACACATTATTTAAAGTCTGAGTCTACTCAGAAAATAAATTACTAGTTATCAAATGGGTGCTAGATATTATCTGTTGTCTACATTCTTAATTAAGGTGAGCTAGGTTAATACTGGTGGTGGGATAATGCATCTTTCATTATCAATCAGCGTTAACACATTAAAAACCAATGTTCTATCATTAAAATATCTTAGGATCACACATAGCCTAAGTTATGCATTTCAAATCCACTGTATGGTCCTTGTTGAAGATACAGATTACAAGCATTCAAGAAGCATTCTTGTTCTGATAAAATGACGTAGGAGTCATAATTTCAATAATTTTCCGGTCTGAGTAATTGTTAAGAAACGTTGATGTACAATCAAATGCCCTTTTATGGAAGAGTTAGCTGTCCTCTACAGGTATCTGAGGTTTCTTCATTTCAGTCACATCAACTAATATTCTGTACATCTGTCTGTCGCTATTATAAAGACGTCAGTATTTTAATGGAGTGTCACCACTTTTTCTTTGTTTTGGACTTTTTAAGATTTTAATTCCAGTTAACAAGCTGTTATGTTAGTTTCAGCTGTACAATGTAGTGGTTGAAGAATTCCATACATTATCCAGTGGTTGTCGCAACGAGGGCAGTCCTGCATTTCCAAGAACCTCTTTAACACTTCTCCCCACCCACCTTCCCTCTGGTAACTACTGGTTTGTTCCTTATAGTTAAGAGTCTGTTTCTTGATTTATCTCTCTCTCTGTCTGTCTCCACTGTCACTTAAGAATTGATTAAATTTCTCATGGAGAAGTAGACTATGGTCACCCTAAATGGTCCTCTCATTGCTTTTCTGGCTTTTTATTATAATAATATTCTAACATGTTTTCTCTTTTGCTTTGTTCTCTCCTATTGTTGAGATATATGCGAGCAGTTCCTGACTTTTTTGCCCAGCCAACAGATCATACCGACTACTCAAAGCTAATTCACCACAGTGTCCCTTCTGGACTCTACAATAATGGCCTTCTATAATAGTTACACGTAGGGACAGATAGGGACCAATTTCAATGCATGGGTAGGGACATCTCTACAACCCCTGTCACTTTGAAGAAGTTACGGAATATGAGCCCTTCACCCTTCAACATCCTGAACAATTAAAGAACCAATAATTGGTCAGGAGTGAAGTGATGAGGGAAAGAAACAGACAAATGTCCCCCTTTAACCCAGAAGATTGACCTGCGTAGTTGTGATAACAATCAAATATGTGCTGGTTGGTACATTCTTTTTTTTTTTTTTAAGATTTTATTATTTGACAGAGAACACAGCAAGAGAGGGAACACAAGCAGGGGGACTGGGAGAGGAGGAGAGGGAGAGACAGGCTTCCTGCTGAGCAGGGAGCCCGATGCAGGGCTGGATCCCAGGTCCCTGGGATCATGACCTGAGCTGAAGGCAGACACTTAACTGACTGAATCACCTAGACATCCCAAAAAGTAGTTTTATAAGTAGAAAATTGAAGATAGATTTATGAAGATACTCCCTGCACGTCCCCTCCCCATGAGCACTAAACATATAACCACAAGCTTCACGTGGCCAAAGTGCAACTCTTTCTGCTCAGGAGTCTTTCTCCAGGCTACTTGAATAAACCATAAAACATCTCAAGAATTCTTTCCTTCTGGATGGGGTCGACAATCCCACAACAGCTTTGTTACTGCAAACTCCATTTTTGGCTGCTGGTGGCTCAAAAAGCCAATACTCAAGACACAGTTTTGACTGGGAAGGAATGTGAGCTTTATTCAGGAGGACAGCCACTTGGGAAGAAGGTGGAGTCTTGTCCAAAAACCAGCTCCACAGTTTCAGCCTGGTCCAAAGAGTTGAAAAGGAACTCGAGGCCAGTAATTAGTAAAGAGGAGTGCGGTAATCTGTAACACTTCGTGCTTGCCTCTTCGTAGCCACAGACATTACTGAGATGCTGGAGATTGTGTATTGGTGCCCCAGGAGAGGTTGTGCAAGAGGGTTCCGATCCAAGTCTTTCTAGGAAACAAGGTACAATCTCTAGATATACAAAGAGGTTTGATTTATCAATCATTTGGGCTAAAGGTGCGTGCTAAAATTTAAAGACTACTAAGTTGGGCAAAGGGGCACTGGCTTGGCTTCTGTAATTTAAAAAAAGGTCCTCTAGCTTTATTGTGTTGCTACAAATGGAAGGATTTCCTTCTTTTGTGAGGTTGATTGTATACCAAGAATAAATTAGATGGTGGAACTCTATCAGTAATATAGCTAGTATCAGACTTTAACTTTTTATATTATAAAAAGTTGCCTGCCTGGTGTGGCAAACTGTTGTTTGATAAACATTTGCTCTTTCCTTTTTTTTTGTGACTATGCTTACCCCCTTCTGAAATTTTAAATCCCTACCCCTTCTTAAGTCACAGCTGCATGAGGTGTCAATTCCCTGTCTTCGAGCCTTATGTTTTTAAGGTTCCCATAACTAATTTTTTTTTCTCTTGTGAGTCTGTCTTACACCAATTTAATTATTAGACCAGCCAAAGAATTGAGAACAGATGAGGAAAATGTTTTCCTCTCCTACACATTCAGTCTGTCGTCAAAAACAGACCTGCTCCGTGATTCAGAGCCAATATATAACTTGAAGATAGAGTTGGGGATAAAGAGGAACAGTAGCTTGATAGCTTGGCGGGACAGAGGAGGCTGCTGGAAGTCGAGGCCTTCAGAGCTACAAGCCCACCCAGGGGAGCGGGCTGGGGTTTTGTAGGAATATGCAGGATCCGGCCTGTTTCAGCAGGAGTTGTGTCTGTGTTGCCAGCCTTGTTCATGTTTTCAGAGTGGTACTGGATTCCTGAAAACAGAAAACAAAGCCTAAGAAGGGGAAAGGGAAACTTGGGGAAGAGAGGGAGGAGGATTCTTATTTTTAGCTATCCAGCCTTGCTACGGTTTAATGCAGCCATTTGGTTTTTGTTCAACTTCCTGCGCTCAAGCAGTTTCAGTTTGAGTCACCAGGGCACCTGAAGGAAGATCACTTCATGTTTTAAATTTGAAGCCACTCGTTATTTTCTAGAATTCCAAAAATAAAGAAAAAGTGTAACACCAAATTTCAGTGGAAATATTGAGGAATTGGAATTCTCCTATATTGCCGGTGGGAAAGTAAAAAGTACATTCATTTTGGAAACCTGTTTTACAGTTTCGTATGAAAACAACCATTAACCTACTGAAGGGGAGCATGTTCTCCGCGCAAAATGTATCGCTTTGTTTAAGGGTTATTTTAGGCTGATTAGGGGTGTGTGTGGGGGGGTGTTTTTTTGAGGGAGAGAGAGCAACTGAGCATGCGCACGAGGGCGCGCGGGGGGGGGGGGGTTTGCAGGGAAGGAGGGGCAGAGGCAGAGTGACAGAATCTTAAGCAGGCTCCTTGCTCAGCGGACGCTGACCTCATGACACTGAGATCACGACCTGAGGTAAATTCGAGAGTCACATGCTCAGCCTGCTGAGCCGCCCCTGCGCCCCTCCGCTTGTTATTTCAAAGAAACAGCAGACAAAGGAAAAGCCCTGCAACCCAGTATGTTTACTTTTGTAGGAGATATTTGCTCCACTTAGGGAAAGAGGAAGCTCCATTCGTAAGGGTGTCTCTCTCTGTGTAGCGGAAAGAGGGAGAATGTCTGAATCTCCAGAAACTCCGATCAGTGGAAAAAGCATCGATTTCAGTCTGGTTAGCAACCACAGCCTTGGTTACTGGGCTTTGCCTAGTCACCTCCCCAAATGCTTCCCAATAGGATCACGCGTGGAGTTTCCAGAATGATCCTTGCTGGTGCCCTCCTCCTCAGATTCTGTCAACTGATGAAAACAACAGTGTTGTGTTAATTACGGGCTCCAGGAGATTCTCAGTGAGGCCAGGGTTAAGCACGAGGGCTTTCCGTTATTTTATGAGTGGAGAGCAGGCTTTGGCTCAAGGAGAGGTAAGAGGGTCTCCGCTGCGTGAGTCTGGGAGGCTGAGGTCCGTGCCGCACGCGGTTCCTATGCTGTAGCTGAATGTGTGATAGTCTGTGGGAGGGGAGGCCCCCTGAAAGCCGAGAAGGAAAAGTCAGGGATTGGTCTCCACGTAGGAGGTCATGGTTTCTGAAAGGCTCCTGACACAAAGGACTAGGAAGTTGGGCCTTTTCTGCATTTCAAAGTCCTGCCTTCAGGCCGAGCAGTTTAGAGGTGCAGACGCTCTGTTGGTGGCTTTAAAGGCATTTTCTCCTGATGCAGCTGTGATTTCTCCACGAGTCTCTTCTGACAAAGAAATCTAGAGGACAAGGTGAACGACGAAGAAATGGCCAGTTCTCAGGTAAGCCTTGGCGTCTGAGGTCAGAGGCTATCATCTTTTTCTCCTGAAATTCCTTGCACTTAGAAATTGCAAATGTTGATTCCTCTAGTTCTGATATTTCTGCTTTCTGCTTGTGTTTTATGTTTAAAATCTTATCAAAAACGATACTCAAGGCTAAGTCTTTAGAACAATTCTTCCTTATATCCCAGAGCCTTTCTCTCCCTTCTCTCCAACCTGGCTTCCAATGGGCCATCAACAATTGTCACATTGAATTAAAGTCCTGCAAGTACTGAAAATACTCCCTTTGTGACGGACTCACAAGGGAAGTCTTTGAGTTCAGGATTCCTGTTGCTGATGGGGTCAGGTCCTGGGATATCAGTCAAGGAGAGCAGTTCTCATTTAGGTCCCATCTGGATGCTTTTTCAGCGTTCTGTAGACCAGGAGTCAGAAAATGCATAAATAAACATGATGGATATGAGGCTCAAAATCACTGGGAAAGTTCTTGCATGGGGGGGAGGGGAGAGGGACGGATTCCTGTTCTTTAGATTGTGAAAAAGATACTCTGTTTAAACTATAATAGCTATTACAGGACTTGGAAACTATGTGTGATTGAACTTTGTATAAAGGTACTGTATTCTCATATTTCAATTTATATTCTTGATTTAAGGTTTGATGACCATAAGAACATACCAGGAATAATAAATAGGTCCTTCGGTGTGCTTTAGGCACTGATATCAGTTAGTTTCCTTAGAGCTCATGTTACCTTATTTTTCTTTTTTTTAAGATTTTATTTATTTGTTTGAGAGAGAGAGTGAGAGACAGAGAGCAGGGAGCAGGGAGGAGGGGTAAAGGGAGGAGCGGACTCCCCACTGAGCAAGGAGCTGGATTCCAGGGCTTGATCCCCGGAGTCTGGAGTCACGTCCGGAGTGGAACACATGTCCTTAACTAACAGAGCCACGCAGACGCCCTCAAGCTACCTTCTTTTACTTGGGTTGGTGCTCTCTGACAGATTTCTCCCCTGTAAAGTTCGTATTTTCCCCCTTAATATTCATAAGAATCTTAGATTTACTGAGTGGTATGCAGAAACCCATTTAATGTGGAAACTTCTTCCTTCTGAGTTTCTCTTGCTTCTAGTTTCTGTTGAGAACCGAGGTAGAAGAAATGTAGGTAAACTGAAATTCAACTTGCAGACCGTTGATAAATACTTGAGACCGGCAAGAGTATGACATTGCATCAGGAATTCCCAACTGCCTTAATGTTAATGCTCTGCTAGAGGGTAAAAGCTACCAGCTTGATAATAGCCAGACCTCCAGGATCCTGTAAGTCCTCTTTAACATATGAAAATCCCTGCAGAAACTTCCTTTATTCCTACCCCCAACTTAAAGCTGTTTTATCAATGGCTTCTCACAAGGACCATGTAGATGTTTCTGCCCAGGGGTCCTGTCCCTGTGCTTTAATAAAAGCAGGTTTTTTGCACCAAAAATGCACCCAAAATGTCTCAAGAATACTTTTTTGACCCTTAGCTCGAAGGCTCCTTCAGGTCCGTTTCCACTGGACAAAGAAGACTCTCACCCTCGTGTAGCAGAGATAATGATTTCTGGGACGGGAGGTTCTAAGTCAGACCTCCATTTTGTAGTTTTTTTTTACTCCACACAGAGTTCACAGAGTGACCCTTCTATTTACTTCTTTGTATTTTCAGGGGAAAAAAAAAAAGAATCAATTAACATGTTTGAGTGTCTTAAAATCCTGAAATAGAATAGAGTCACAGATAGAAATTTTATCAGGTAGGCTTATGACACAAAGGAAACTTGATTTGCAGCCAATAAGGAGGTCACAGGGAATAACTTCCAAAGCAGAGACTCCTGGAGCCGGGGTAGGGGGCAGTTTCCTTATATTAGGGTTCAGATGGAAATTCAGAAAGATGGGCTTCATCATCTTGTATAGATCTGGGCATAAGGTCAGACAGGTACCTGAAGACACTGCCATACATACTTTGTATGTTGTGTAAGTGAGTTTGTGCTTCTCCTAGGATTGAGATTTTCATATTATAATGAGGTAAAAGTACCATGGCTTACTCTTTGGTCTGGCTACACAGGTGTGAGTCAGGGATTAGGCTCAGACTGGGCTGGCCGAATCTCATCATTTGAGCGGTCATTACCTTTAGTTGGATGGCTTCTGTTCCTGGACAGGAGACTAGACCATGGGGTCTTTGCCTGGAGTAAAAGATAAGGTAGAAAAAGAGGTTAAGTAAAATGTGGGACAAAGATCAGAGAGTGCAAACAGGTAACTGGGGAGGGTCAGGTCTTGGGTCTAGCTGGTGACATTAACTCCCACTTTAATCTTAGGAAGCATCGTAACTCTGTCAATGGCCACTTGGTGACTGTGGTATTTATTTCAGGGACTGCTGACATTCAGGGATGTGGCCATAGAATTCTCTCAGGAGGAGTGGGGATTCCTGAACCACACTCAGCGGGAACTGTACAGGGATGTGATGTTAGAGAACTACGGACACCTCCTCTTCTTGGGTGAGGAAGACTCCTTCCAGATTTCCAAACCCCACTCTGGGTTTTCTTCCTTCCTGTGAAGACTGTCTCTTGGAAAATTCCTCTTTGAATGACTGGAATTCAGATCAAGGCAGAGAGGGGAATAAATAGGGGTTTGTAGATGGAGAGAAAAATCATCATGTTGTTTCCTGTAACTTTAGCTTCTTCTTCTTTAAGGTAATATCACTTTTGTAGATGAGTGTCAATTGTAAATAGTGAGTGTCAAAAAATGGTACTGCCCACATCTTAAACTGAAATTTTAACTTCTTATTATTGTATTGTTAGTATTTGAAAGTGGAAGTCATGATGTGAAAATTTCAAATTTCTCCTGCATGTTTAATGGCCTTTTGGTCAACCGTGTTTGGGAAATCACTTTCTAGAATTCTGCAGTGTCCTCTAGTGGATTGAAAATTAAAATCTCCAACAATACTCCTATTCATTTTTTCTAATAAACAGGTCTTATTGTGTGGAAGCCAGACCTGGTCATCTTTTTGGAGCAAGAGAAGCAACTCTGGGATGTGAGGAGAAAGGAAACAGTAGCCTTCCATCCAGGTAGGTGGGAATGAATGAGGCAGATGCATGCAGAGGGGAGGTCCAGGTCTGAAGGAGGAAGACAGACCTTAAATTCTGATTCGAGTAGCTCTCCTTGAATGGAGATTAGTTTTAGAAGCACAGTTGAACTTCTCTTCCCTGTCACAGAAGAACATCTGCTCTCCAACATTATCAAGCTCTTAAATTCTCTAAGGATTCTCCTTCAGCTCCAGTGATGGTCCATCACATCCATTGATGGAGACCAGGAGACTTCTCGGGAGAGGGAGGGTCTCCATAATCTAAGAGCTTCTCCATTGTTTTGAGGGCCTTGGGGAAATCTCCCTATTTCATAGGATCTCTTTTCTAAACCTTTTGTAAGTTCTGTTTTTCATCATGGGAGAAGTATGTCAGGGTGGTGGTATGCGCATTGGGTTTGGTACAGAAACCCTGGAAACACTGGAGACAGATATCACATGTTTTCTGGTTTATGCTTTCCAATGTCATGGTGGCTTTAATCTTAATCATATAAAATTGAGAATCAGCAATTTCATCAGATAACAAAACACCTCCCTAAAATGAGAAAAACTAATCCTTTATTTCACTTAAAAGTTCACTTTTCTTTGTATTAAATAATACTAGAAATTTCTACTCTATGTGTTCCATTCCTCAATGGTGAAATAATTAAATGTATCTATTTGTTTCCTGGATTTCCTACCTAAAGAGTGCCATAGGGTAGCGGGAACATTTAGAATTCAGAATTCGTAGCCTGTAATAAAGTCTTAGTTGTTACTTTATTTATAATAATTGACTAACTTTATAATTTTATATGGTATGAAGTTCCTGTCACTTTGCCATGTGTGTTCTCACTTTCTTATTACTTACACATGACATTCATCTTTTTTTTAATATCAGAAGTTGTGATATGACATGAACATTTGCTTATAAAAAGTAAAGTGGATAATCAGTAAAATTCTCATATTTAAAAAAATTTTGCTTATAAATTTAATTTACATGGAAAAATTAACCATTAGGCTTTTCTTCTACTTTCCTCAGAATATATCTGAATTTAATTGCAAATATTTATTTTTTACAAAGTGATAGCTTGCTGGCATATTTTACAGTTGTGATAGTATTTCTTTATTTCAAAATGAAGGGGGTTTTTTGGGATGCTTTATTCTTATTTTTTTCTTTTTTTTTAAAATATATATTTATTTATGAGACAGAGAATGCACGAGCTCAAGTGGGGTGAGGGGCAGAGAGAGAGAGGGAGAGGTAGAAAGAAAGGGAGAGAATGCTAAGCAGACTCTTTGCTGAGGGTCAGCACCCTCAAGGGGCTCCATTCCACAACCCTGAGATCATGACCTGAGCCAAAATCCAGAGTCAGGTGCTAAACCAACTGAACCGTGCAGGTGCCCCAGGGTGCTTGATTCTAAAGAATGGATTATAGCCTTACATTCTGTGTACAGGAGGGATATGTTAATAAGAATACAGTTTCCAATGCCTTTTAAGTGCTTATTCATAAAATTTTCCGTTAGACCTTTTCATGGTAGACTTTAATACACATTCTTTACTATTTTACTGTCAATGAAGACATGCCAATAATTCAAAATGCTTGGTTTTCATGGGTACACAGTCACAGTTTAAAGTTACATAAAAGGTTTCCTTTTAAAAATGCATTCATTTTTTTCTATAGATTTTATCTGTCAGGGAGAAAATACGGAGAAGTGGGGGGTGGGGCAGGGAAAGAGCGAGACAGGCATACTTCCCACTGAGCAAGGATCCCACACTGGGTTCCATCCCAGGACCCTGAGATCATGAGCTGAGCTCAAGTTAAATGCTTAACAGCCCGACCCACCCAGGCACCCCAGAATTCATCTATTTGTATGTGGAATTCTTTGAGTTACGTTTTGGCTTATTCTGGTTTTACAATTCTGTAATAACGGGCTTCCTTTTTTATGGGACCTTTCACAACATTGTTTAGTTACCTGTGTATTTAGTAGGAAGACAGTTTTCAACTCAGTAGATTTCAGGACAGTGTGAACTCCAGTATGAATGAGCTCCTCAGTCTCTCCAGTGTTTGAACAAGTGCTCAGCATTCGTCTGAGCCGCCAGGTAATGCATCCATAGGGAGCTGTCCTTCCTTCGGCCCCTGTGGCCTACATGACAGAAACAAGTCCCTCAGGCAGCAGCCACACAGCCACATCATGGAGCATACTGGGCACTCATTTGTTCTCTCCTGAGGAGAGGTGAGAATTCTCTCACGGTGTTGCCGTGGAGAGTCAGGGAGGGCGAGCCCCGGTTGTGGGCAAGTGTTGCAAACTCTCCTTGTCTCTTCGTTGTGCCTCTTCTTCCTTCCTACTTGCCTGGGGGAGCTGTGTTCTCCTAACTGGCTTCTGGAACATTCTAAAGGGTAATTCGGTCCATTTTTGTGTCCATGGAGGAGCACAGTCCTGTGCTTCCTATTTCTCTATTTTGCTCATGTGCGATGATAAGCATTAAGATTGCACATTAGCATGTTAACGTATATGCATGCGAGTATGGTGAGTGTGATAACTTACTGTGTATCTTTTAGTTGTGTCTTTCCCTAACACCCAAAGGCCTGTTGGCAAAGACGGGGAAAGAAGATTCACTTTTTTTTTTTTTTTTTTAATAATTTTTTTTTTTTTTAATTTATTTATTTGACAGACAGAGATCACAAGCAGGCAGAGAGGCAGGCAGAGAGAGAGGAGGAAGCAGGTTCCTTGCCGAGCAGAGAGCCCGATGCGGGGCTCGATCCCAGGACCCTGAGATCATGACCTGAGCCGAAGGCAGAGGCTTTAACCCACTGAGCCACCCAGGCGCCCCGAAGATTCACTTTTTAAAGTGACATGGGAAGACGTGGAAGCAGCGGTCCTGAGTATTTATATTTAACGAGTAACTCGTCAGGTGGCCGAGGGTAGTAAAGGGCAGGAAGGAAGGACGTTATGATGGGTATAACCCAAGTGGGACAGTTAGCATAAAGAAATCCTTCCCACCAGAAGAGATGAGGTATAGAGCACATTCAAGGAAAAGCCCCACCGTTAAGACATTTATATTTGCAGAACAATATCTTTGAACCTGGTGATAATAATCCATTTTTCAACATACATATTCTCTGGAAGGACATTTGGATATTTTGGGAGGTCACCTAGTCCATGCGGAAAGTGTCATTCAAACCATTTCAAGTTTAAGAGTGGTTTAATCATTCACTGATGCATTTCTGAATGTTAGACATTTAAAAATGAAGGTAAAAATTCTAAATGTGATTGGTTTAAGAAGTCCTTTTCGGGAAGTTCCTTATTCTCCCACCAACACATAATCCCTCCTTGTGGCACACTCTCTAAATCTGATAAACACAGGAGGGTCTTTATCCAAACATCACTGTGGAATACTTACCACGTAATACTTAATTGGAGTAAGTTTTCATGTGTTGTGAACTTAAGAAGGCCTTTAATGAGAACTCTATTTTCCATAATTACCAAGTTGTTTATAAAGGAGGCAAAATGTACCCATGTAATGAGTCTGGGGAAAATGTCAATCAAGGGTCAAATCCTAATAAACCTCAGAGAATTTAGTTTCTAGAGAACTAGTATTAGAGTAATAAATGCGGAGCTTTATGAAAGCTCCAGTCTTCTTGTATATCATTGTATCCTTACTGAAATGAAGACTGAAGAAGGTGTAAGTGTGACAAACCTTTTAACTAGTCTTCAAGACTCACTCAACAGCAGACATTTCATAATGGGAAGAAATAGTACAAATATAAACAATGTGGTAAAGACCTTAACTGCCACTCAAAACTTACCAATATAATGTAAAATACAGTGGGGAGTGGCAAAGTCTTTAAGCAGAGCTACGATTTTGCTGAATATCAAGGAGTGCATAATGTAAGGAATGCAGTAAAGCATTTCATTCATAATCATAATTCAACATAAGATAATGCATCCTGGGGCAATAACTTAAAATTGTCAAGAATGGTGGTCCGGTCTTTACCTGGAACCCTTACTCAATATAAGGTAAAACACACTAGATGGAAACTTTAGTGTAATGACTGATGAATGACCTTTGTTTTTCATATACAGTTCAGAAAGAGTCTTTATAAAGGATAAAAATATTAAAGATGTAAACAATTAGCTACGTATGTACAATAGAAAGGCAAATCTAAATAAAGTCAGAATTAACAACAGAAATCAATAAGTGCCATTTCAGACATGACTCTAAATCAGAGTATTTATTACAGAGGAAAATCCAAATTTAAATGACCTAGATCAGACATGAGGGACACCAACCTCCTCCAGAACTGAAAATCTGTATGTAATTTTTTTTTTTTTTTTGAGATTTTATTTATTTATTTGACAGAAACACTTCGAGAGAGGGAACAGAAGCAGGGGGAGTGGGAGAGGGAGAAGCAGGCTTCCCGCTGAGCAGGGAGCCCAATACAGGGCTCCATCCCAGGACCCTGGGACCATGACCTTAGCCGAAGGCAGATGCTTAACGACTGAGCCACCCAGACACCCCTCTGTGTGTAATTTTTGAATCCCAAAAACTTAAAACCATTCCTTCCTTACCGTGGAAATACCCTATTATTGAAACCTTACCTAGAGCATTAATAGTTAATCATCCCCTTCTTTTTATGTGGTCTGAGTTCTATATTTTTATAGTAAAGTAAGGTACAGAGAAAATATTAAGGATTGTGGTAGTGAAGAGAAAACACATTTACAGTACTACACTATATTTATACAAAAGAAAAAAATCTTTGTATAAGTAGACTCACACTGTTTAAACCTGTATTATTCAGTGTTCAACTGTATTTGTTAATATCCCTGAAAGGATCAAGATGGCATGGCTATTTGGAGAGGGATAATTAGTTTTACTATGTCTCTTTTTTTCTTTTGGCTATATTTGAGCTATTTCCAATAGCAGATACTAATTTTACTCTGAAATTTGTAAATACATAAAATCTTTTAAGGAAACAAACAAGTTTATTAGGTGAAAACTTGGAGACTTCATAAGTCATGGC